GATGGTGGTGGTGCTGGTGGTGGTGGTGGTGGTGGTGGTGGTGGTAGTGGTGGTGGTGGTGGTGGTGGTGGTGGTGGTGGTGGTGGTGGTGGTGGTGGTAGTGGTGGTGGTGGTGGTGGTGGTGGTGGTGGTGGTGGTGGTGGTGGTGGTGGTGGTGGTGGTGGTGGTGGTGGTGGTGGTGGTGGTGGTGGTGGTGGTGGTGGTGGTGGTGGTGGCGCTGGTGGTGGTGGTGGCGCTGGTGGTGGCAGGAGTACTACCGGGTAAACAGATGGTCCCGTACGAAGTGACAAGCCAATCACTACCTTATTGATCCACTGAGCCAACGTACACGTATACACATTACATACATGCTTAACACATACGTACAGCATACTGCAGGCCCCAGGACCTCTCCCCCCCTTAACCCGCTTCCAAATCAAACCCCGTGTCCACTGTCAGACTCACCCGCGTGCTTCACAGGGTGGCGGCGGCGCTCGTTCTCCTGGTACCAGCTCCACCCCAGCCACAGCGCCCCCACCCCCAGCAGGGTGTACAGCACCTGGCTGATGGTCCACCCCGCGGGTAACCAGGAGGGGCGAGGTCCTGAGGAGGCGGGGGGTGGGGGGGAGGGGGGGGCGCCCGAGGGGGGGGGAGTGGTGTTGTAAGCGGTTGTACCAGGCAGAGAAATGAAAGGCGTCATTCGACTGCGGACGAACAGAGGGCCTTGACTGCGGGAGCGGCGAGCAGACGGGTTGGGTGGGTGGGTGGGGAGAGGGGGTTAGGGAGAAGGCGGAGGAGGCGGAGGGAGGCGTGGGGCGTGGGGGGGGGGGGGAGGGGGTTGGGAGGACAAACTGTATAGGGTAATGATGCTACCCTTAGGTGGTCCATAACGCTCAAAAGAGTCCACAGTCCTCCCCCACGCGCACCGCACCGCCACATGCACAGCCGGGCTGCTCGTCCCAACTGACACAACGACCACCTACCGGAGGGTCCGCCCGGGGCGCCGCCGCCACCACTACCGCCACGGCTACCGCCGCCGCCGCCGCCGCCGCCCCCGCCAACGCCCCGGACCCCACCGGGGCCCCCGACACTCCCCACGGCGGGGAATCCGGGACCGCCGCCCAGGGAGGGCGTTACGGGACCTGAGGAGGACGAGGGGGGGGGGAGTGAACGAGCAAGTGTCTTAAAAGGCCCCTGGGGCGGCTGGGGCGGCCGGGGGGAAGTGTTGTCAGTATGTCAGTATGTCTGTATGATCTCTTTCCACGTGAATGCGGCACAACACGTCGGCCGGGGGGGGAAGGGGAGGAGGGCGGAAAAAAAGGGAGTAAACCCAACGCCGGAAGCCGTCAGCTGCAGCTCCCTTCCGCCCATTGAGGCGACACCGCCCCCCTCACCGCCATCGCGACTGCGGCACCCGCCGGCAGCTGCTCAACACCCCCAGTCGCTGAGGTGCGTCACTAAGTACCGCAGTCACCACTTGACCCCTAAGCACTTGGCCCCCTAACAAAAGACGAGCACAGACAGACAGACTGACTGACAGAGAGAAGGAGGGAAAAAACATTTCTGGAGGTTGGGATTGGGTTGCGTGACGAGGGTTGAGGTAGAGATAAAACCTACACGCCCCGAGGGCGGGCTGGCCCAGTGGTAGGGCGACATTAGGAATCCGCATGCGGCACAAAAAAGCTACACGGTTCACGGAGAGCCATGTCAGAAGGAGCCACGTCAGACGGAGCCACGTCAGACGGAAGGCGAGAAAGGCTTACTCGATGTGGGGCCGGGTGAAATGCCCGCGCCCGAAGTGGGTGTGGGTGTTGGTCGCGGCGGCGGCGGGGGTACTCCGGGGCTGGCGGCTGCGGAAGGTGGGGGACTGCTGCTGCTGCTGCTGCGAGCTGCTGGGCGACCCTGGGGAGCGTGAGGGGGGAGGGTCCGGGGGGAACATGTACGCGTGTGTTCATGTACGGTGTGTATGTACGGCATCGTGAGGGGACGAGGGAGAAAAACCAAACCCAGATCACCGCCGGGGGCCTCCCTCCCTCCCTCCCTCCCTCCGACTCCGGTCCGCACCTCCTCCGCCACACCCGCGACCCGCTTACCCCCGGCGTGCTGCTGTACGGCGGCTCAATGGTGGCTCGTACGGCAGTCGAGTAGCGGCGACCTGTATGCCGCGCAGCCCGAAGCGAGCCCGAAGGGTATGCAGCGAGCGCAGGTAGGTACCGGCGACATCGCATGTGGTAGGAGAGGGGGCAGGAGAGCACCATGTTGGTCCGACCAGCGATATGTATGGGGGGCGAGTGCGGCAACAACATGGCTGTCAAGTCAACGACGAGGAGTGTCATAGGAGTCCAAAGCAATACCTTTGCTATCGAGGGGATAGACAGCAGGTCCACAGCGGCTCACAGGATCTACGGAGCGGTGTTGGATCGCAGCTGACGCGTCGCCCTAAATAGGGCCCTAATCAGGACATGTTGCCTAAAATCGCGCAGATGCCCGCAGATCCAGAAGACCCAGCTCGGATATCCACGATTGCGTTGAAAACATGCAATGCACAGAACATAGAAAGTTGATCTCTACACAACCTCTGCACTGGCTTTGACATTTGGTTTCCAAGGGCTGCTGCGCCGCAAAGCTGCGGAGCTGTATGCGCAATATACAGGAGTATTAATAAAAATGAAATGTACAGCTGCTGATGGATCCGGAATCCTATCGGGTCGGTTGACATCTGGGTCGGTCAACTCCTTAGCTGCAGTATTTTTATTGGATTGGCTCCCAACCAAGAAATCTGATTGTACAAAATTGTACGAAGGGATCTGAGCACCGAACAGCGCCATGCCATGTGGACTCAACAAGTGCTGACAAGTCCTCAGCACTTGTTGAGTTGGGGAAACCGGGGACAGTTTTTGGGGCGGGGCTCGATCTGGCGAAGTGACTACTGCGCACATTGTCGCATGTCATGATCGTCCCGGAAACGCACCCGTATGGCGAAGGGGAGGAGTGACCCGTGGGTCTGCGCGCAGCACCGAGCGAGTGCCCACCGTCGAGACCGCTCCGGGTCGCAACCGAGACGCCATCGTGGCTGCCGCCATCGCCTCCTATAGTGCTCTGCAACCCTAAGAAAACGGCCTTCACATCAGCAACAGAAGCATATCAACAGCGGGCGCGGCAAAGCGACAAAGGAAAATTCGGCAGGCCATAAAACAGATTGAAATTTAAGATACCGTTTGGGAAAATCCACCTCCACTTATCCCAAGCTGCTACTTCGGAAGCAGAGTTTTATCTCGCCCGTGCAAGCCATAGCGCCCAAAACGATTAATCCGCGATGTCGCTTATGCGGAGCTGAGCGACCCTGCTCAACCCAAAAATATTGACCTCAAAAGCTGTTGTTGCTGTCGTGCGACCGCTGGCTGCGACTGACGCTTGGCACGCTTCGAAATTACCCTTCCTTGCGTGATTGCGCATCTCGATGGGCTTTTTAAGCCGCGACAAAGCTGCAGAAGATCTAAGGAGCAAGCCGTGTGCCAGAAGCGACATGGGACGGCCTCACCTTGCTTTGATGAAGCGTTGAGGTGAGAGGTTCCGGGATGCAAGGCCGTGTGGCGATGAGATGGGGGATTAGGGCTTCGCAGCGTCAAGGTGAACGTACCAGTAATTCCTTTATGATTACAGAAGGCAAAAATTAAGGCAAGGCTATTGTTAATGACGTTCGTGAAGTAGAACATGGTTGAGCGGTGGGACCTCTAAATTGTGTGGAATGGCGTTGGGCTTGGGTCGCAACCCCCCGCTCGTCCAAGCTGCCATGATGGGATGATGAGGTCATTGTGTGGGTCGCGCTGTTTGCCAGCCCAACCTGGGAGTCCCTCTCGCTATCATGTTCGGTATTACAGGTAAAGTCGGGTATAAAAGGTACAATCTCTCTGTTTTTGGAAACCCATTTCGCTCAGGTGCTGGCTTGAGGTTAACGGACTAATCGAACTTGGGTCCTTGCGTCAGGCCTAGCTGTGACCTTCATTAAACACACAGGGATGATTGTACATCTTGTGCCAGTACAACCCCTCTGTAAGCGTCAAACACCTGGGATGCCACACTGCAGCATCCTTGGCCTTCACACGGTGATGCTTAGGAAGAACGTTGGGGATCCTATGCGTAAAAACGCGTAGTTTTTTGCAACCCCCACAGTAAGCACTGTGGGAGTGTTCTTATGACTAACTTTGGATTTTTAAAACTTTTCGCAGCGCCAGCGACATGGCCCTGATCTCGCTCAGTCACCCGTACGTATAAATTCCACAAGGATTGTAAATTATTTAACGCACAAGTATACTGTCCCACTCCGTAGAGGCCACACGGTGGCCCGTGGTGGCCTGCTTTTTCTCCCGTTATGAATGTCTTGCCTGCAGGGCTACATAAGCAGTTCTCGCCGTTTTTAGGCGTTAAAGAATTTGCGAAGGCAGACTGTTTTTTTCGACAAAACAACCAGCGCACAAGGAGTTCCCAGCCCCGTTCTGATCTGGATCCACTAACCGCTTGGCTAACCGTCGATAACAAGGTTTAACCACCACACGGCATGGCTGATACAACAGCTGCGCACCCAGCTCTTGCACCCCTAACTGCATAGGTTTTAAAAGCGAATAGCAAGTCAACGCTAGCGGTGCTCCAGCTTGAACTTTTGACGTCCCTTACAGAGCCTCGCTATCAGGTTATTACAGTACTACGATGAGCGGACAGAAGCATCACATGCATTGTCGGCTTGTGAGTAGGATTAGCGTTAGTGGCGAATAGGACCATTCTTTGGCGTCCCAGGTGTTGTTGTGTCGAGTAATACAAATCGTTTTTTCCACGCAGGCAGCTAAGAACTACTGTCCAAGATCATATTTAATTGTCTGGCCAGGTGCGAAGTGCAGCGCCTGCCAGGTTCCCAAATTTTAACGAACTTTCGGACCGTCCTTTAGCAGACGAGGATCCACACATTCACTCTTTGGAGTATTGTTCAACCCTGCCTGTACCTACATATGTGCAGGGCGAATTCAGCGCTTGGCAGCTGCTTTGGCTACGCGCGCGGCCTCGGCGCGTTTTCCGTCACTTCCTCGAGAGCGAGATTCGGAAAGACGTAATTACGATGTCCCATACGGACATGTCGCCTTTGAGCCTCAGCACCACTTCTCATCGGCAATTACACGGACTCCGCAAGTCAGAACTGACAAGCCGGTCGTTCTGGGTCCAACGCATGACGCTCTTGGAGGTTCGCACACGCAGCCAGCGAATACTGGTCTCGCGGCCTATGGATGGTACGTGACGACGCAGTCTCCGGGCTCATATGACCAAAAGTCTACGGTATCCTTCTCACGGTACCGGTAGGACAGTTTCGCTGCTTTCCAATCGGGACTTTCCATCTTGGGTGTGCGATTGCTTTACATGTACGCTACCAAGACTGCATGACATCTTTTAATTACCGATGGTCGGCAACAAGCGGCACACGACCTAGGGACTTATTGTGCTGCTTCGGTCTCGCTGGTTTCTTCCCTCTTCCATGTTTAAGCTAATATAAAAAGTATAAGAAAAGCTAGGACACCCGGACACCTCTAAGAGCCCGTCTTCACCACATGCTGTTGTCCACCGCGGCGGAAAGAATTCCTCCGCACATACGATCCTTCTAGCACCTTTTGAGCTCCAAGGAACCTTTCCCTTCGTCGCTCTTGCCTACCTCTTTACCTACGCCCGACAAATTCCATCAACTGCACTTCACCCCGCTTTTTATGAAAAGTACCACGAAACCCAAAATAACATTTCTACACTCCCGTCTTCATATCTTTGCTGCCCCTTCGCGCTTTCCACTTTCCACCGCAGCTACCGCCTATTCGGCCCAGCCTACATTAGCAAGCACGGAGACTGTCTGGTGGCCCGTCTGCTGCCCGGTGCCCGGCTGGAGCTATTGGGCGGTGTGGACGGCGGCGGCGCCACCGCTGTACAAACCGCATCTTCCACCACTCCCGTCGCCACCATGAACCGCGAACCTCCGGCAGGTCGCACCAGCGTCCGGTCCCTCAGCGCTGAGGAGGCGGCTGCGGCGGCGGCGGCGGGTCTGTTGCCCACAGGCGATGGCGAGGACGGCCGCTGGGACGTGCAGTGCATCTCCACCACCACGGATGCGGAGGAGGACGAGGAGGGAGGTGGCGGCGCCGGCGACGACGGCGCGGTGGCGGAATGTGTGCTGGTGGCGGCGTATGTGGAGCTGGGGGGCAGTGCGTCCAGCGTTGATCTGGTGAGCAGCGTTGCGAGGAACAGAAGCTGGGGGGAGGTCTAGAAGGGGATGGAAAGGGGAATGCACGACTGTACGGCGCTACGCCGAGATTGTTTGGTAGTTGGCGTACCTGTGTGCACTGCCCATGCGCATGCGCTGCACATGCACTGTGTCTGTGTCGGGGAGCTCTTTTCTTTTGACAGTGCGGTCTGCCTCCTTTGAACTACCCTCTCCCCCTCCCGCCGCCTTCCCTCACCCGCGCACACACTGACACACACGCTAATACACACACACATACACATATCCTGGTCTTCATCGCAGACGGATGTCCAGCTACAGCCTGCCGTACACCACCGCAACGGCCACACCTACCTTTCGGTTCGCAACCTGCCACCCAGTGCCGTCATCATGCTGAGTGCCGACGGCGACCTCAGCCACCCAGTCAAGGTGACGCCGCCCGAGCCGCCAACGGCAGCTCCGGCGGCCGCCGGCGGGGCGGCTACAGGGAGGGAGGGCTGAGTGAGACCTTTGATGATATGACGTCAGCAGCTGCAGCGCGGCGGTGCGCCCTGAGAGATAGAGATTTAGGTCGTCACCGCTTTCACCAGGTGGTCTCCGTACCCCCCCTGTACTACGTGGGGAGGGGGTGGAAGGGTGAAAGAAATATCAGTTGTTGTTGGTGGTGGTGGTGGGTGGGGTGGTGGGTGTTTCATGCACGGGGGGACCTTCCTTAAAAGGGAAGGGGAGCGCTTCCGAGCCCTCTGGCTGCCCACCCTCGTGTGTATGTATGTATGTGTATATTGTACGCTTATCTGTACATCGCATCTGTATGATGTTGGTGTCTTATGTACCAGTAGCAGTCACGTCACACACTCTCGGCTGCCAGGAGTTTCTGTGTTTGTAGATAGATAGCGGGGCAAATGGCTCCTACCGTATTCTTTTTAGCGCTTTCTATGGGCCCGAAGGCCCTGAGTAGATCCGCATTTTTGTGCAGTTGAGCGCCATATGATGACGTTGGCTGATGTGAGACCTTCGATGACGTCAGTTCTGGGGAAACTTCACTCACCAATGTGCAGCAGTGCACCGGTTGATAGGTAGTTGTCAGTTGGAATTCAGTTGGTAGTTGTCAGTTGCCGTACCCTGTGGGTAGCCATACCATAACAAGATCTATCGCCCCATGCCTTGGGCGGTCGCTTTGAGGGTGCCGTCTGAGGGATTCTTTGTTGATTGAGAGCATGGCGTTGGCGGGGGGGGGAGAGAGATGTCGTTGGGTCGCCATTCCCTTATCATACCATGATGCGAGCCTCGGATTGAGCCTCGGATTGAAATGAAACCCTCGAGTATTTTTTTTCCAAATGTCAATTTCGCACAATTGCACATGTGAGAGAGTGCATATATGTCTCGTTGATACCTCTATTGGGGTCCAAACGGCGTGTAGATGTGTGATGGCTCCTTCCCGTGTGCCGGGCCCAGGGTCCCCTACCGCACCGGGCCGCATATCTGCTTCCTTGCCAAGAAGGGGCTCCCTCCTTGGTTGGGGTCGCGTGCATTCTTTGCTGCTGGTGTTGTAGTACGTGGATTTGTTGCTTTTTTTGTTGGGACTCTATTCATATTACGGGTGCAAGTCCTCGCGCACATTGCGTCGCTGCCGTTTTACTTGGCGAAAGAGAGCCGGGGGCCCCGCATTGCCAGGGGTTAATCCGCCCCGGCGCTGGCTGCTTGTCCATGCACACGGCCTTTTACGGCAGATCGAGTGCTGAGTACTGGTAGCGCCAGTTCGATAGGTGGTTGCTCGAGCTCGTGAGGTACCGGTAGGTGAGTTTCAATTCGGAGTGAATGCTTTGGTTGTGCAATTGTACAATGTTAACCAGAGCCTGATGTGGTACGGTGGTGTGTGCGAGAAGCTCTTGTGTGTTGGCGCCACACTGCGCGGGAATCAACTTCTTTGTGGGCATGTCATCTGATGGGGGGCCTTATTCATCCATAATTGACACATAAGTGAATATGTAAACTGTGTACACAGGAATCCCTCCAAACCCTCTGATTAGTTGTGCAGGCATTGTAGCACACGTTTATCTGCGACTGAGTGCTCTTGAGTGCTCTGCCTGTAACGATTAGTTGACTGCAACAGCGAGACATGCAACAGCTGATGGATGGACGGATAGATGGATGAATGGACGGATGGGTGGATGGATAGATGGACAGACGGACGGACACAATGTAGCAGGTGGGACAGGTGAATGGCGGTGTGGGCGGAGGAGGCCACGTGCAAGTTCCCCCCCGCGGGGGGGGGGAAGGGCAACGGCGGCGGGGGGTACTTCTGGCTGCTGTGGCTGCTAGTCACTATGCGATGATGTTCCGAGCTGGGGGTGAGCTAGGAAGTTCACCAACGTGGCGGTGGTAATAGCAGTAGTAGTAGTAGTAGTAGTAGTAGTAGTAGTAGTAGTAGTAATGGTGGTAGTGCAACTATCGCTTTTGCAGCGGAGCACGCGAAAGGGGCTGACGTCATGCGGTGTTAGGGATTGTTGTTGCAGTAATAATGGCTGTTAGAGACACAGGAGGGTTTGTTCGATTTCCCGAACATGCGCCCTGTGTCTGTGAGGCTGTCAGGAAGTGTTGGTAAATCTTGGTGGTGGTTGTGCACCGGCTGATGGAGGACTCGAAACTTTTTAAATTGTGTTATAATTGGCGCGATGACTAGGAAATGGGAAACACGCAAATAATGCAACCTTCAAGCGGATATGGTTACCCAAGTGGATTTGATGGTGATCATTCATCCAATCTTGCGGCAGGTACGCTACCCAATGCTGCTAAAAACAACACGGCAGCCTCGTTCGCTATGAAACAATAGTTCCTATACGAACAAAAGTCGCAGGCCACGTACGACGTTGGTCGTACCAATCCACCCACCCGTCCATACTGTCCTCATGTACCCCAACAGGCATACGGAGGAGAGGTGTAAATCCTTACCACCCTAACAGTCCGGGGGAGCCGCTACTCAACCGTAACAGTCTCTCTAATAAGAACCGCCATTGACCGCGTGATGGGCCCCCGATCTCAAGACCGCCGTACGCAGTTTGCACCCCTGCCGTGTCCTGTCCTGCCCCTCCTGCTGTGTCCCGTTCCCCCTGCACCCCAACGAACACCACATCCCTCCATCATCATTTCAAACTACCATGACGCGATGCTGCGTGACGTTACATACACACAGACACACACACGGGAGCTGTGTCGCCACTCGCGACTCGCGGGGCCCAAACATTAAACGTCACGGCTTCAGCTGGCGGCTTTGATGGCGCACTTAGCCGCCAGGCTGGCTCTTGCCCGGCTCATGGCCTCCAGCGCCAGGTCCAGTCGCCGACCTACATCTCTGGTATCCATGGCTAGCAGCCGGGTGCGCACCATGTACATGCGCTCCTAGGGTGGTGCGTGCGATGTTGTGATGTGGGGGGGTTTGAGGGGGAGGGCGCGGGGTGTGAATTTTCTTCATAAATGGTAATCCAAAATAACAGCATCGTTATCCTAAAATTTTATAAAACCAACATTATTTTTCTAGTTTACGGGAGTGGGCCCGAAAGGAGGAGGAGGAGCGTGTCCGTGCTCAGATAAACACCACCACCACCAGCACGGAGATGACATGCGTGTGTGTGTGTGGGGGGGGAACGATGGCTGTGGTGGGGGCCGTGGAGAACGACCCGGGTAAGGTGGGTGGGCGGAGGGGGGCTGGGGGGAGGGGGAGGAGGAGAAAGGATCGGCGGCAGCTGGTAGTGCCGGTAGTAGAGGAGGAGACGCACACACACACACACACACACACAGAGGCAATCGTTCGACTGGCCCCGGCCTTCCCTGCATCACGGCGTTCTGTCCACAACACCCGCACCAGAACCCTGCTGTACCCACTGGCCACTGAACCCGTGTGCCGTACCTCCGTACTGGCGTGCGGCAGCCACTGCAATGAAGCCCAGGACAGCCGCACCGCCCCCTCCGGGTCGAAGTCCTCCTCGCCGTCGTCGTCGACCCCGGTGTTTGCTGCGGGTCCCTCCGTCCTAACCACCACATGGGCCCCAACACCTGCTTGAGCTGATGCCGCCGCGTGGTGCCCCCCTCTGCCCTCGCCAACCCCGCCTGCGACCAGTGCACCCTCCCCATCTGCTTGGTTCCCGAGGGACGATCTGTGGCGGTGAGATGGAAGCGACATCGCCCCGTCGGTGGCTGCGGCGCCGGAACCGCCGCCGCCGTCGCAGCTGTTGCCGGCGGCGCTGTTGTCCCGGCCGCTACTTGTACTGCAAACGTTGCGGTCGTAGTTGTCGTGAACGGAACCGCTCGCGCCCGGGTCGCCACCGGCGCCGCGACCGCTGGCTGTGCCGCCTGCTGCGAAGAGCGGTTCTTGTCCTGCAAGACCCGGTTCCGGGTCCATGCAGCCGTGCACCCCGGGAGAGGGCTGCTGTATCCCCGGCGTTATGGGCGCCGCATACAGCCAGCGCATGGCCTGCTGCAGCGCCGCGGTCTCATCACACCGGAACTTGGACGCCAGGTTCTGCACGTCCTGTGGGTATACGACACAGCCGTGCACACGGCCGTACGGCAGATGTGAGAACCGTACAGAGACGCTGGTGCAGTGCTGCTTGTCACCGAGCAGCCGGCAAGTCAGGCCTAGCCGCGTAGGCCGGCAGGTAGGCAGCTAGCAAGCCGCGACTCCTCATCTGGCAAGGCTCTTGAGATGCAAACATGGGCATCACACAACCGTCGGCACCTTTCCTTGGAAGCTTCAATTCACCCACTCACCCAGCCGTCAGGCCCCCTCTCCCTCCCTCCCTCTCTCTCTCTCTCTCTCTCTCTCTCCCCCCTCCCCCTCTCTCTCCCCCTCTCTCTCCCTCTCTCTCCCTCTCTCTGTCTCTCTCTCCCCCGCTTGGCCCTACAAGACCCCACGTATGTGCAGCCTAGGGAAGCGACCTATCCGACCTACCCGCAGAATGTCCTGCAGCTGTGTCACCTTGCTCCTCAGCTCCTCCTGCTGATCCGCCGCCAGCGGAGTGGGCTGGTCGGGTAGGGGGTACACCTTCGGAGTGGCGCGGGTGGGGTGGGAAGGGGAGGATAGGGGTGAGTGAGGGAAAGCTGCATCAGACCAGCGCCATGAAAACATTCTGCAATCTGTAGCAGTGGTCAAAGTGAGTGGTGGCGGTGGTGTGATCTAGGAGTGAGGAGACCAATCTTTGGCTGTGGCTAGGAGGTCGTGGCCGGGGCAGAGGCGGCGACTCTCCAAACCAGTCAGCCGCGGGGATGTCAAATGAATGCCAGTCTCGTTCCCTCGCTTGTCGGCGAGCTGGCAACTGTCGCTACCCCCGAGGGGGGAAAGAGCAGCGCCGCGAAGCCGGTAAATGAGACCTCGATACAGCTCCCCTCTAGCCCTCCTCCAACTCCTATGCATAACCCCTCCCCTCCTCCTCCTCCTCCTACACCCTCCTCCTCCCTCCCCCTATTACGAGCTACCACCCACCAGCCGCCACTCAGTCCCACCTGCGCTCGCAAGTACGGCCCGGTCTGGGGCAGTCCGCTGATACCCAGCCGGGCCTCCCCCCGGATGCGAACCAGGTAACCGCCAGTGTACGGCTTGGCACTCAGCACCTGCGCAAGGAAAAGCCATTCGGTTCGCCACGCAGGTTGTACGGCATATGGTACGGCAATACAGCAGGAAATTGGGTCTTCCAATGCTTGGCCACCTGAGAGTGTGTGTGTGTGTGTATTTTATCCCCAGGAACCCCGCTGCTGCTGCTGCTCATCCGGATGGTCCACTGACCCCCTCCGCGCCGGTCGGGGCCTGGTGCAGGGCCCGGCGGCCCTCCCCCTTGTCCACAGTTCCGTCCAGACGTCCACAAAGCCCCCTCCATTTTCACTAACTGCCCATTACGACATTCCAGAGCCCGCGGGCTGGCCCGTGAACTGAACGCAGTCAGTCAGTCAGTCAGTCAGTCAATCCAGCGCCCGCACTCAACAGCCGTTATAGCCGAGGGGGAGAAGGTGCCCGCACCCCCTCTGTCTCAACACCACAAAAAGTCCAAATTCCGACCCCGAGATCCTCCTCCCTTGTGTCATCCTATCACCCCTGTCATATTGTCGTGTCGTAGGGATTTGCCGTACAGCCGTACCTGTACCAAGCAGCCGCAGGACAGCGAGAAGTTGTACCCCCCGACGAAGGCCCCCGGCCCCGCATCTGCCTCGCTGATCTCATCCCCCAAGAACGGCTCCAGAACCGCCGTAGCCATGAGCTTGTGCTCCGAAGCCATACACTCCTCCACCAGGGAGATGAAGTGCGGTTCGTACAGGTGGAGAGTCTTAGTCATACCTTGATGGAAACAAGGGAAATGTGGTTGGGGGGAGGGAAGTGTGTGTGTATGCGTGTGTATATATATAAGGGGGGGGTCCGGTGAGCTGCGGACGGGAGGGACGGACGGTGTGGTGGGAAATGGCCTAGGATTGCAGGTATATGGGCTGATTAGTGGCTTAGTGTTAGTGATGGTTATAGCGATGGGGGAAGGCAGTATGGGGCAACGGGCTGACCGATGGGACGAGGCCGCGAAGGGGCCGCAAAAGGCCGATGTGTGTGGCGGCAGGTGTGGGCCAGCAAGGCTGCAATTTGCAAGGGAATCTTCTACGCCGGCCCCACATGGTTCTTCGGTAATCTGTCGGTGACATTTCACTGCTTGGCTCGATTTAAGTGGCATGATAGCGCCCGCATGTTGGCGCCCCGCACGAACCGCACCACCAGGGAAAGGGGTCCTAGGACAGCTTGCCCACTCTCACCAGGCAGGAACACGCCGACGGGTTGGACAGGAAACAGCGGTAGCTCATGTGGTATCGCCAGATGGCTTGGAGCCGTTGCATAGCCTGCAGACAACCATGGCGCCAGCTTGTCGTCGACTCGCGATCCGCAATTGGACGTTCGGCGAAACATGCCCAAATGGAAAACTTACAACGTGTCCTTAATTTAGTACACTGTCTTGGCAAGGTACCTAGCCTAGGCCTGCGCCTGGTGAGCCATGTTGGTGGATAGTGCATCTGTCTCAGCATCATATAAATTGCAAAGTTTAAAGGGAACGCTAAGACGATCTAATTGTGACAGTCATGTGAAGTAACTTCGTCAGAGTGCAATCTAAAAAACATGTGGTCAACGGAGTCGCAACTGAATTTCCCGATTAGTCCCAGGGGCTACTTGCTAAGTTCCCGAGGCCCCAAAAACTAATACATATCAGACTTGTTTATATTATGTTCAATAGCACATAGTGTTTCCTTTTACTTTACTTCCTGTTTGTCGCGCTGCGACACACGACGCAAAACCGACCGAGTTCTGCGGGTAAACGACAACCGTCCATCGAGCATTCAGCAACACAAGCTACGCGCCTACATGAACACAAGACGATGCGCATGATTCCTTCACTTGTCAATAGTTTTATGAGACGAATCGAAAGCGTTCCGTCATGCCGACTAGCCCAGTGATTCGTCACGCCATCTAGCCAGATGAACAGTTGGAAACGATGGGAGACCTCCAGTCCACCTCCAGTCCAGTCCAATGGAAATGTTCCCGGAAATCCAGTCCCGCTGATGTATTGCCAAACCTGCCGTTTGGAGCAGAGGTGCCAACCTGTGCCAACCAACCTAGCCGACCACCGACTAAATTCATCAAGGTGCTGCGCACCAAAGAGCCCGCAGAACGCCAATCACTATCACAAGCCCTTTAGACACTCCTGCACATGAAGTGCAAACTGCAGTATCATTCGTTGATAGCGTGTGTTGAGATTTCTACACTCGTATCCAAGTGAGAGACAGACATGCCAGCGATGACACGGCTTGCCTGCGCCCCGCAGCGGCAGCTACGTGTTCGGGTCCCAGGCTGGCATGCTAGCCTTGCGGGCAGCAGCCGAGCCCTCCGGCGTGTACACACCAGCTGCAGTGGGGATTCTCAGCGATGGCGTCAGCGACCGTCTGGAACAGTCCATTCGTCCACCCATGCATCCGTTTTCACTTGCCCAACCGTTCAATTAACAATCCCGCTCAGGTCAGGTCCACAACGTCGTCATCATCGTCATCGCTCAAGGTCAGGTCGACATGTTCGGTTGCGGTCGCTGCAGCTGCTGCTGCCGCCGCTGCCATTCCAGCAGGACCCGCGGCCACCCGGCCTCCATCGCCGCCGCCACCGCTACCGTTGGCGGCCCCGTCACCCCTGTTCAGCCGCTTGGATGGTGACGCCATTAAGGATCCGCCAGCACTCGGCCGCCGATCCCCCGGCTGTAGCTGCTGCTGCTGCTGCTGCCCCTGTCCTGGTGGACCGTGTCCTGGCCCACCAGCCATGTCGGGGGCTCTCCCCGTCGGAGCTGCTGCCCCCTGCGATGCCGACGGGACCCCCTGGGCCTTGTCCGGAAAGAGCCTCCTTGCCAGTCGCTCTCGCCGCGCCACCCCTGGACTCTCCCCCTCAGACCCCGTCCATCCCCCATCCTGCTGCTGCCCGTGCTGCAGCTCTTCCTGCTGCTGAGCTGCCTCATCCTGCCCCGGCACCTGCCCCTGCTGCTCCCGCTGCTGCTGCTGCTGCTCCCGCTGCTGTAGTAGTTGTAATTCCTCCTGGATGCTATGACGGCATGTTGCTCTGGGCTTTACCGCTGACCCCACCGCCATCTCTTCGTCCACCACCTCGGCTGCCGCCCAGCCACCCCCGCCGAGCCGGGTTCCCAGCCGCTTCTCCCCGCTGTCACCCGCCCCCTCGTGACTCTGGTCCTGCCGGGTACTGCCAGCCGCAGGGCCGCTGCAACGCATACGGGTGCGCGCACCAGGCGCCGCAAATGCCCTCGGGCTCTCCGTCAAGTCCATTACCTCCAGATCCGCGCGTTGCGTCCCCACCCCGGCCCCGCCCTCGCCAGTGGCGCCTGCGCGGCCTCGCTCCGGTGAGGGCCCCTCATCCTCGTCTGTAGCAGCGGCCGCTGCTGCTGCTGCTGCTGTTGCTGCCGCAGCAGCAGCAGCGGCACGGCTACTGCCGCCCCCAGCGGGCTCCTCTCGCCCAGGCCCCGGGCCTGTGTGCTGCGCCCGAAAGGGCCGCTCCTTGCAAGGACCCCCTGATGCAGTCGCAGTAGCAACGTGTTCGTGTCCTTGGACGCCGCAACCGCCGCCGCCGCCTCGACTCCGGGCAACCGCTGGCTGCTGCTGCGGCGGCGGAGGCGGCGGAGGCCTCATTTGCCGCCTATCACCGCTGCGGCCCCCCGGCTGTGACGCGCAGGCAAGCAGTTCGTCTAGCGACGTTGGAATAACGTCGTCAAGATCATCGTGCATCGCGCCAGAGCGGCCTCCGTATTCTTCGCCATCCTCCGCCTCTTCCGCCGCGGCGGCCGTCGGCCCCTTGCCGTCGCCGTCGTCGTCACCCCATAACGCAACCATCCCGCCTCCCCCCCCGCCCGCCCCTGGCGCCTCGCTTCCCCCCGGCCTGCCCCAGGCAGCAGGCTGGCTGGAGCCCGGACCCGCTCCTGGCCCCACCAATGCGGCCGCTACGCCACCAACACCGCCGCCAGAACCGCCGCCAGCTCCTCCAGTTCTCCGACCCTCCCCGTCGTTGCACTGCGTTAAGTTCACCATTTCAAAGTCCTCATCGCCGTGGTAATCCCTCTCGCCGTTGTTGCGACCAGCCCCCAAGTCACCCGTCCCCTCAGCCCATGAAGCTGTTCTACAACAGTCAACACCGCTGGTGAGGGCGGCGACGCCGCTCACATGGGCGCCGTACACTGCCCGTGGCCCCGCCGTCGCCCGCGGTTGCAGCTGTTGGGCGGAAGTGGTCGGTGCCGGTGCTGCAGCAGCGCTGCCGCCGGCGCCCATTCTGAGGAAGCGATGCATGATGTCACTGCTGCCCTCTGATGTGCCCGACCGCGTGACGCGAGTTCCGCCTCCACCGCCGTTATTGGCGCCGCGAGAGCCGCCTCCGCCACCGCCTCCGCCGGTACCGCTGATTCCGCCTGGGGAGCTGATTTCGCTCGTGGCGGCGGCAGCGGCTGCGCCCTTGCCTCGGCCCTTCTTCTTGGGTGGCTCCGCCAGCTTGGCCTGGTGGGGCGGGGTGGGGTAGGTGGGGTGCGGGGGGTTGCCGGTGGGGGAAACGTGGGGACCGCGTTAACTTGCGCACCATCGTATCTTCATCACCTGTCAGGACGTGTGTGTCAGGCCGGCCACAATTCAATGTTTGAACAGCATGTGAGGTATGTGTGTATGTATGTATGTATGTATGTATGTATGTATGTATGTATGTATGTATGTATGTATGTATGTATGTATGTATGTATGTATGTATGTATGTATGACGTTGATTACACTGTGGGCTGAAAAGCCGGGGGCCCAGGGCCGAAGCACAGCGCGGGGGGCGGGTGCATACGGCTGGTTAGTCTCATGCACTCCGCCCCCGGGTCAGGCCGCACGGGAAACGACGGCCGGCACGCAACAGCGCTTGTTTGGCGCTCCAACTAGACGGGATCTATGCCCGTTGGTCTCCTAACATAAACGAAGTCGCAACTGGGGGGCTCTTCCTGCCGACCGAACGAACCGAGCACCTCAGAGAGCTCGCTACCAGGACCTGGGCGACCGGGAGCCCGACGAGTCATCCCGAGTCATCCCGAGTCATCCCGACGGGATCTATGCCCGTTGGTCTCCTAACATAAACGAAGTCGCAACTGGGGGGCTCTTCCTGCCGACCGAACGAACCGAGCATCTCAGAGAGCTCGCAACCAGGACCTGGGCGACCGGGAGCCCGACGAGTCATCCCGGGCTGGGGAGGTCACCAAGCTCAAAAATCCTCACGCAAAAAAAAGAGCGCAAAGAGCTCACACCACAAGACGCCAAACAGCCTCCTGAGACTACTACCCTCCTCCGCCTCTCCCTCCCTGGGCTAGTCCAGGGGAGATAGCCCCCGTCGGGGGGGTAACACCGCACAAGTCCGCGCCCTTCCACAGCACTGGGTCTAACTTGAAAAGTACTCAAACGGGAAGACCCTGCGGCAACGCAGGGCGATCAAGCCTCCGGAAACCACAGGGGGGGAGGGTAGCCAGCTCGGCGCCCCCCCAATACCGCTCTACCAAGACGGCTGGTTCCCAAGATCCTATCTCACCTAGACGCCGCAACACGAAAAAACCCGGTCTCGTACCCTGAAGAACCTAGTCCTGCACCACGCGCGCACCTTCGAGTACGGCCCCTCCTTCTGGGTGCCCACCTCCCCCTCATCCGCGCCCTCGCTACGGCCACCTGTTTCCACTCACCACCCCTCAACCCTACATCCTCTTGGTGCTCTCTCTGCCTCTTCCCCTCCCCCCCCGGCTCTCCC